GCATGTTGTTGGGAGCTCATCAAGGCTATTTTCTGGCTCTGCTTTTAGGGGTGGGAATGTCTGCATGAGGGTTTGTGTCCCCTTTGGCATTTACCCACACAAGCTTTCCTCACGCAATGTCCAGTTTGGGATCTCCTTCCAGTGGAGCTGGCAAATTGGACCAGAAGGGTCATTAAGAATTTTTCTGTTTGGCTGCACAGCACACATCATAATCAATGCGATTATTATCAATTGTGTCTCTTGTTTAGCTTAACCTCTGTTCCATTACTTTGTTTTACATAGAACAGGTAATTACAGAATCTATTTAACAGATCATGCAACATATTTGGTCGTGAGCCAAATTTGACACCCTTTTAAGCATGTCGGTTTTGCTTGGTCCTACTGTCAATGAAACTTTGTTCTCAGTAACTGATTCAGTCCAAAGTTTAACTGGTTTAATCCCTGAAGCCATATACTTCTTGCATACAAGATCAGTTAAACGCTGTGGGATTAACCTTCTTTAGGGTTTGATAAAACATGGTTTGTTTTTGAGAGGTTTTGTTCTTTTCTGAAGGTCAGACAGGGCAGAAGAAGTCATGTGAGCTTGGTCAGTGAAATCATCCGGTCTGCTCACTACAACTGGGTTTAGGGTCAGATAAAGATTTCTTCTTTTACAGCATAAGGAGTTGACATACTGCCATCTTTTCACGGAAACACCTTTTTTAACCGGCATATGGTTAAAAATGAGAAAATCCCTTAAATGCATTGGTCTAACTTGTTTTGTTCTTTGGTGACAAGAACAAAACAAATTGCTTCAGTCAAGAGTTTAGAAACTCTTCGCATAATTTATTTAGCATTATGTACTGGCATTCCCTCAGAATATTTAAGATCAGGTTTATAAAAAGAAATGATGCAGGTGACATGTCAATGAAATCACATAATGTCTAATACTGAACTTGACATTCCGTAGGGTGCATACCTACACAAATAGTCCCCTTATATTCAGTCAAGCTGCACCGAATTGCACACATAGCAATCAGTTACCTAAATGTGAATGAATAATTCCCTGGGAAATCAGTGAAAATGTGAAAATCTTGGGATGCTAAAGAAAGTGATAAAACATTTCCTAGATCTGCACGCAGGTCCTGATCTGCACCAAAATCTGATGGGTTCTTCTCTGACCCCTAAAGTAACCTCTCCACAAGTTTTGTGGTATATGTCCTGTAGTTTTTGTGTAATCTTGCTTAAAAACACACAAACTGCTTTCAAACATGCATTCGACTCCTAATGTTCTCGTGAATTTGTGAAAGTTTTTAGATTAACTTCAGGGGTTAATATGGTTCTATGATAACTTTCTTTGATTATATTTGCTATATGCTTGATGTATGATTAGACATTACACTGTACATTTCAGTAACAACAAAAACATTTGGGGTTATATTAAACTTTTGAATTGTAGTGTATTATTTCTGTAAGCACTGTAGACATGTATCATATATGAAAGCAAACAGGTTAGGATTATTATTATGTTATTGTATCATAAATGCTTTGCAATACTTATGACCTCATCTGACCTTCCATATTTGAAGCACCATACACAGCAGGTCATTCTCCTGAGGACTCTCAGATGCATGGCTCTTATTCCACAAGTTGTGCATTATCATATTTATAAAAATATACAGAAGACTTGTATTTCAGTTCTTGCTCTCCTGTTAAGCTGAACCTTACTTTGTTTGGCTTGAGGCTTGAGCTGAAGCTTGTGGGAAGCTAGTTATTCTGTTATTGTATTCTTCTGGTGATAGAGTTCACATGGCATGGAATCTGTGTTGACCTGTGCAGGACACTGGTCTTTTGTCTGAAGAAACAGTGCAGTCTTTCTAGTTAGAAGCAAAGAAGTGTGTTTGGCCAATAGGTTGGATGTGATATTTGGACACCCGGTTCCACAAGTGAAATGGTAACACAATGTTTTCTGTAATGATGTAAAGCCTTCATGTAATACTCATGAGTGTTTAATTTAGTTTGAAATAGTAATTCTTGTTAGATTTGAATGTGGCTGTTTAAAAGTCATTATTTTATAGCCACTACACAAGTCTGACTTTTTTGTTTGCATCCCCTTTCAATATCCTGTGAAGCAGCAATGGACCAGGCAAGGACAAAGATATCCAAACTTGTGAGTATTTGAAGTCTTAACTGCAACCCAAATCCTAAAATCTATTTATCTAAATACATTTAAGTCATTTTAATCATTTGTACCTCTTGCCTTTTTTGAATGTGAAATGTCTCTTTGGCTGGTGTTAATCATCTTTGCAGCATGACATCTAATATTACCAAATGCATACTTGTTGTTTTTTAATTGGAAATTCTTTAATCCTTGTGAATTCTCATAACTGCAGACTCGATGGGTTGCCAACTTGTGTAAGATGCTTGCAAGCAGAATGCTTAGGTTTTTGTATTGTTTACAAATTAAGCCCTCATTTTTGCTAAAAATGATCTGTCTAAAGTAGTGTTTTCTGTCTAACTTGTCATGAAACTAGTAACTTAAGAAATGGCTAATTTTCAGCCAAGCGCCTCATATGATATACTGTAGTTGAACTGAAGAACACAAAGCCTCATGCTAATATGAACTCAAGTGTTCCCACAATGTCAACTATACAACAAAATTAACTTGATTACTTCCTCTGACAGCTTTTTAAAGAAAACTAACTGAAATAACATATTTGCAAGAATGTGAAAGTTTTTTTGACAAATTGCTGTGTCTCGGCAGCAATTTGCTTGTAAAAAATTGTTTATTTTGAATATTTAAAGACGGGAGTGGTTTCCCATTTTCCGTTCTGCAGGTCCTCCCAGTTTTTAAGCTCTCAGAATGATGTTGCAATAGTTTTTGTTATGCAATTTGGCTTCTCAGAAGGAAGCTGCAATAGTTTTTGTTATGCAATTTTGCTTAACGTTCAATATTTGCAGATTTCTTTTTGTGTTCATATTGGAACATGATGGTTTTGCGCTTTTGTAAATAGTCTAAGCTCGTAAGTGTTAGCAATACTGATAAGACAATTTACTGTTTACGTCAAGTGTTATCATACTGTGAAAAAAAAATAAAGGAGCCTATGCGCACTACAGGATGATTTAAATGTCTCACTTTGTTTAAAGTAAAATCAAAGCTAGCGAAAGGGAAAAGATGAAAGTGAAATGAAAAAATCTATTTTGAGTTTTTTGGAAAAAAGAACTGTTGAAACAAAATCCATTAAGTCTAACTTTAACTGTTAATCCTTTTTTTGGTGGTACTTACATAGAGGCTCTGAGTCTGTTTTTCCTGTATATACATGGTCAGATGATTCATCGGACAGGTCTAAAAGATAAATTGAAGTTCTTGCTAAATCAACAAAGCGACTAATGTAATCCGTCAACTTATCAAATAAACCTGAACAAAGGGTATATTAGCATTAGTAAACCCATTCGCTACAACTTAGAAATCCTTTTGTCCTAAGTGTGGCTTATTAGAAATTCCGAATAGCTTATGTTGCAACGTTTTAAGGATGAATATTTGTTAAACCTTCAAACCCATAGAAACATATTTCCTTGTCATCTGAAGCCAATCAATATATCACAAAATTCCATTGATCATTGAATCCATCTTTTGTCAACATAGTTTTACTTAAATTCATTACTCTTGACTTTTTCTGCCATTACAGCTTAATGTGGAGCCACACTCCTACACACGCTTCAACCTGACGCAGAACATGGAAGGTGACACCAGCCAGGTGGAGATGAAGCTGTCTTCTGACATGGATGAGGAAGTTGGGGGAAATGGAGTTGGAGACCATCTCAATCACAACTCCCCCCACAAACCCTACATGACTCAAAGGTTTAGACGCTCACCTAAGAACCTCTGCTTCATGGCAGCCGCAACCCTTCTCATCTTCATCATCGGTAAGCAGGGTTGTTGAATGAATGAATGAAGAATCTTTCATTAAAATTTCTGCAGTGATTACTGACTGATAAATATTGGTCTGTATTTGTGTTATTGGAATGTCAATTTATTCATATAGCACATATAAGACAACTTGGAAGACACAGTATGTCTTTCCCAATCTATGCTTTGTGCACGGTTGTGGACAAAGTTATGCTTTTGTTCTCTGTTATCGACTGTCTTTTGGTAAGGTTGTTCCTTACTTGCTGCCACTGCGTCTTTCAGGGTACTTGATTGGCTACCTGGTCCATCGAAAAAAGGACTTTCCCAGCCCTCCAGTTCCCTCAGTCCGTAATCAAGTGAGAGATTCTCCTGTAGCCTACGAGACAGGTGCTGCCCCCCTCATGGACTGGGATGATGTCAAAAGCCTCCTGGCTCAAAAACTCAGTGCATCCAAATTTGAAGGAGCCTTTAGGTAAATCTAAATCCCTGCACACTGCCTGCACAGTTTGTGAGGCCCTGTCTGTGTCTTTACAAAATGGCCACTCACGGATATTTTCTTTATTTGTATTATATCGTAATAATTAGTTTTTCCACTTTTTGCAGTGAATATTCCAGTAACAGCCACCGTGCTGGTTCTGCTGGTGATGAATTGCTTCGGAACAAGGTGCTCAATAAGTTTACAGAATACAGGATGGACCCCTGGTCTGATGTGCACTTTGTTAAGGTCCAGGACCCCCCAGCTTCTGGCTTCAACAAATTTGTTTTCAAGGAAGGGCCAGAGGAGCATCCAGAGGGGTTCCTGTCCTACAGTGCCACTGGAAACGCAAAGGTGAGCTACACGCTAAATTAAGTCAGGAAAAAATGTATTAATTAAGAAAAATGCACTCATTGATTTGTTTGTGTTTTTGGTACAGGGTACTGTTGTGTATGCACACTACGGACAGGAAAATGACTTGATGAGGCTGAAGGACAGTAACGTTAACCTGAGTGGCAAAGTTCTGCTGGTCAGAGCTGGTCATATCAGTTATGCTGAGAAGGTGGGTGGTTTCAGCAAGAAAAATTAGTTTAATTTGATGCAAATTCTAAACTTAATCTTTTCCATATCAAGAAGAAATAATTATTGAATTATATTATGAAAATTGTGTGAATATGTAAAGTTAATTTTCCATCTTTTTTGTTTTTGCTTACAGGTAGCCAATGCTGCAAAAATGAGTGCCTCTGCTGTGTTAATCTACGCAGACCCCACTGATTACAGTATTGGAGACAAGACTCAGCTCTTTGGACATGTGAGTGATGACATTTCAGAAGTATGATGTTCAAAAATAAGATCCAGAAACATTTAGATTTAGATTCTTGTGTTCATACGGTATTATACAATATATATTTATAGGTACCTTAGGGAGGATTTCACTTTTGCTGGTGGCCAGCAATACATTGATATATGGGTTCTAGAGCTTCATGATATTTGGAAAATATGCGATGTTTTTTAATACTGTGATGGCAGTATGACTTGTGATAAATAAACAAATGCTCAAGTATATGGTGTTTAAGTCCTTCTGCTTTGGTTTCACTGAAACTGAGAAGCAATATTTCCATTCCAATAACGGTAAATATAATGGTTTTATTGAATAAATTCCATCTGGCCATGGACCCAGGGACAGCTCCACTAAGATCCGATCAAGAGTGGTCAGCTCTAAGTACACATGTGCACATCTAGCAATCTAAATTCGATGTGTGGCCTGTGATCAGATTTATTGTTCGCAAAGACTAAATGATAATTTTTGGTGACAGTGTTTATGTGCTGGCGTGAGAGAGGGATGAGTAAGGAGAATCCATGATCTACGTGCAGCTTTGCTATTAGAAGACATTTTACATATTAGGAAAGAAATGGTAATCATTATGTGAAGGACAGTGTTAATATTGTGGTTTCTACAAACAAATCACTGTTTGGACACTGAGAAGAGTAAAAAATACTTAGATGCATTGCTAACTGTAGCAAGTCAGACAACAGCAGCTGAGTAGGCATTCCTTCAATGTGGCCCAGAATGCATTTCAATCACACGGCAAAAAGAAAATGGCCACATACATCTCACACCACTGCCAAATGCATTTGGGTGCATTCAACCCGGGGTTTGGTGCTGACCCCTCGTGAGCTGATGACCCAGACTACCTTTAAAGTGATTAGATCTCAGGACGGATCAAGGACACTTCTTTTTGTTTGTCACAGGTCCACATGGGTTCTGGGGATCCCTACACCCCTGGCTTCCCCTCCTTCAACCACACCCAGTTCCCCCCTGTCGAGTCTTCAGGCCTACCAAAAATCTTGGCTCAGACCATCAACCTAGCCATGGCTACGAGAATTCTAAGGTAAGGTGCATATGGACCATCTGAAACACTATCCCTAAAGAAATGGAAATCTTGAAAGGTCATCATGAATGTTGTGCCTTTTAAAATACTGTGCTTGCACTCAAAATTTTGTTTTAGGTAGCTTTCACAGTGTCTATTCTGTATGTCCTACAGGCAGCTGGGGGGTCAGGCTACACCGGTACAATGGGGATGCTACCACAAACTAGGAAATGAGAGCGATGTCATTACTATAGAGGTCAACAACGTTCTTGCTGAGAAAAAGATAAGTAACGTCTTTGGCGTTATCAAAGGCTTCGTGGATGCAGGTAAAATAAGATGCTCTCTGAAAAAGAAATACTGTTTGTTCACTGAAAATAATGCAAGTGATGAATCTTCCCATTGTCTTAAAAAATATATATATTTTTTTTCAAATGTAGATCGGTATCTGGTCATTGGTGCACAGAGGGATGCATGGGGTCCAGGTTTTGCTGCATCAACCGTTGGCACCAGCGTCCTTGTTGAGCTGGCTCGTGCAATCTCAGACATGGTGAAGAATGGTAAGTCTCTTGTGGCTGCAGATGTAACATTTCATATGAAATGTTGAGATTTTGACCCAAAAGTAGTATTTATTAAATGGATGTGCACTTAACGTTCAGATCAGATCCTGCCTAATGCATATTATGGAGCTGGTAAAGAAACCCCTTGGAAGTAGAGTAAAAATAGAGTAATTTTGTTTCGCAAGGGATCTGCTCTATTTGTTAACATGCGTTTTTCATCCACTTTCACAGATGGATTCAAGCCAAGGAGGAGCATTGTGTTTGCTAGCTGGAGTGCAGGAGAATATGGGAGTGTTGGCGCCACCGAGTGGTTGGAGGTAAGAATTGAATGATGAGTTTTGTGACCTCTTTTAGCAGCTTTTATGTAGTACTCATACTGAATGTGATTGTACTTCATGTTGTTTTTCTTTGTTGATCTAGGGTTACATGGCCACTCTGAACATGAAAGCTTTCTCCTTCATCAACCTGGATGGGATTGTAACAGGTATTTATCTCCGTAATCAGGTTCTTATTACCTCTGTTTTTAGCTGCATAGTACTACGGGACAGATTACCACACGACTTAGAAGAAGGATGTTGTATTGGTCATTAGTGGATCAGGGGAGGATCCAAATTAAATTGCTTTCTATAACATTGTGACATGTTTTTTTTTTCATCAATTTAACAAGGAATAATTTATGTATCTTGAGGGGAAAAAATCAGGCACATTTAGGGGGACTGGTATCTGAGTATGTGCAGCTTGAGTGACTTTAAGAGGGAGTTATACACTCTTCTAATAAGATAAGATTTTTTCCATATCTTCCTATCGATATCGTTCCTGGATATAAATTAAAGGTTCAGTGTGTAAGATTTAGGTGAAATGGATCAATTGGCAGAAATTGAATATAAAATAATCCTAGTGATGTTTTCACTGGTGTGTTTCATCTAAATTCTACAAATTGTTGTTTTCTTTACTACAGAATGGGCCCTTTATATTTAAAAACGTTATATTTACATGGAGGGGGGGGGGTCCTCTCTGTGGAGGCTGTCATGTTTTTTTACTGTTGCCCAAACTGGAAAAACAAGTGACCCTGCTCCTCTGTTTTCTAATCACTCACACATTCATATTTATGTTCCTGGATAAACGGGGCGTCGCTGCTTCTGCAACAATTCAGTTGCGTCATAATATGCGGGAAGAACTCTGTCTTGTGTGTGTCTGCTTGCCTCTGCCCCCACTCACACATGAACTGATAATCATATGTATCTAGTTATTAATCGATGATGTTGGATCATGTCTCCAGATCGTTTTTTTGTGCATAATGTCACCCCTATGCAGCATAATGTCACCCCTATGCAGCAGCCCAAACATTAGTGCTGTTCCTGCTTCATGCTGTGCACGTCAACCTAACCCGACGTAGCTGTTACTCTATTCCAGTCACACGATTGGTTTGGTGCGGTGCTATTCTCATTGGCTGTTTGTGTTGTCTGTTAAAACGTGAACAGAATGAGTTCTATGGACATTATATCGATCATGTCTTAAATTTCTACAGAGAAAAAGTTGTATCAAGATAATTATTGCTATCGTTTTATCGCCCAGCCCTAAAGGTCCCCATATCTGAGATTGACTTATGTAAGAGCAGTTTAAATCAGTCCAAATGACAATTTAAAAATATGATAAAGGGAATGCGAGTAAAAACAGTTGTATACCAAATGCTCAATATTAAAGGGCTGAGGAACACAGTCGATGACTAGCTGCTGAACATAGCGGCGCATTTAGCAGCTAAAGGTCCACACATTTCCCTTAGGAGTAGGTAGAGACTACAAGAGTGAATATTTGACTTGATGCAAGTGAAGAATGTTGCTCTGTTTCTGCTGGATGTGTAAAAATGACTGAATGAAATTGTTCTTCTCCAGGTCGCAGTGGATTTAAAGTAGCAGCCAGCCCCTTGATGCACAGCCTGATTGAGAGGATGCTGACAGAGGTAAACCCTCTCACGAGGACTTTGAATGAATCAAATTTCAAGGGGCATATCTCACAAGCCTGCAGTTTTTGTTCAGCAAAAATAAATCCATATTTCAATGTTTTTTCAGTGTTGAGATAATGTACATATACAATTGTTTGGTCCTCAGGTGGATGGCCCAAACAACGATGGCTCTCTCTTTTCTCAGTTTGCAAAAGGCAACTGGGACACAAATATGTAAGTCTGATCAGGGTGTAGCATTCCCATGCAAAGGTTTTTTTTCCTTATCACATCCACACTGGGATGTTAAAGGTAGCTTTCATAATCTATGCTCGCTAATGTCCACTACTTAATCTTCTCTGTCATTTGTTTTCCAGTTTGGAGCCTCTGAAGATGGATAATGCTGCATATCCCTTCCTTGCCTTTTCTGGCATTCCCTCGCTCTCATTTAGATTTGCCTCTGGTAGCGAAGTAAGTCATGCTCGACTAAAATAAACATATTGTATCTATAACCCAGGTCAACCTTGTAAATTTTCCTTCTCAGGTCTACCAGTATTTTGGCACAATGCTGGACACCCAGGAAAAATTGAACCTCGCCACCACCAACCAAGTCCCTCAGCTGGCAGAAGTAGCAGCCCGATTCGCAGGTCACATAGCGCTGAGGCTGGTCCATGATCATCTGTTGCAGATGGACCTGTTGAAGTACAGCAGGAGCATACTTTTTCAGGTGTCGCAGATCAAAGTGAAAGTCGGAAATATTCAGAGGGTGAGTTTCCAGTTATTATAATCATGCAAACTAATAACACTTAATCCCACTAAGACCTGAGGCGTTGAATAAAAATGCACAAACCCTGAAACCTGAGGGTTTTCTGAAGACGTTGCTGACGTTTACGAAAGCTATAATTTCTCCACCTCGGAAGCAGATGGATATTTAAAATAAAATCTGCTCTTAAAGGTGTGTATATATGCAGACGTCACATCTGATCTTAATAGGTTATGGGCAAGTTGTTGAAGAAATAAAGGTCAACTTGGCTTAAAAAGACAAATAAAGAAGCATTTTAACATTGTGGATGTTGTCTTCCCAGATGAAGCCCCAGGTGTTGCCCAAGTCCCTGACTGTAAAGTGGTTGATCACGGCCTCAGGCTCCTTTAACCGTGCCACGCAGAAACTGGCAAAAGACATCGACAACAGTGACCTGAATAACATTGAGAAGTGCCGCATCCTCAATGACCGCATAATGACGGTAAGACTGCTATAGTTCAGGGCTCATTAAAGATTTCTGGAGCTCTTCATAAACATGGTGGCATATACCCCACAAAGCCAAAACATGTGGGTAAAATTTAGTCAAGAGCTGACAATAATTTTTGAACTGATAATGAAAATGCAAGTTAGAGGGTTGTACTTTCTTTTTTGTTCCAGACAAATAGTTCTAGCTGTCACAGTTCCTGTGTGGCAAAAAACATTTCCTTCTTAGCTTCACTGCTTCTTTAGTTTTCTCTAACTGAGTTAGGCAAAATTAGTCCAGTGATTTTGAAAAACAAAAACATTGAACATCTCCTCATTGTCCCGTGTTTCTCTGCTTGTTTCTGTAGGTGGAAAGGAACTTCCTGTCGCCCTACGTGTCTCCCACAAACAGTCCTTTCCGCCACATCATCCTGGGCTCTGGTGCACACACTCTCGCAGCTCTGTCCAACCATCTCGATATCCTCAGGACCGACAGCCCAGAGGGGGACGCCGACTTGTTTCGCCACCAGTTTGCCCTGGCAACCTGGACCATCCAGGGCTGTGCCATCTCACTAGCAGGGGACATCTGGGCCTTAGAGAAAGAGATCTAAAAAATTAATCCTCCCTTGTTCATGGTTTGGACCTCTTCACAACTAGCATCGTGAAAACCAGTAGGCTGTTACAATTCACCGACAGCCAGTTACAGCTTTTTGAATGAGTATTCTTAGGAATTGATAAAAGCGAAGCAGTTGCTAAATGGATACCATTTCAGTCATCACCTCTGTTACGTAATTTTCAACATTTCAGTGATAATCTGCTTCGTCTCCCTTTTAATTTCCCATTAAGCCATACGAAATTATACAGCAGCCTTCCGCCTTAATATTTAAGTTCAGTAGGTCCATTTTTTTCCCCACACTGCGGAGAGAGATTTTTTTACTTCAACATGTGGTACTTGAATACCACAATCGTCAATACGTTGGTGCTAATAACGGCTTCCTTTTTAAATTCCCACATTATGTGGCAGTACTACTTACATCGGTGCATGTAGATGTAGTGACAGCGATTCATTTTCAGCACAGTATTGGGTCATAATCACATGAATGACTGTGATAACCAGCTTTAGAGGTTCATGCAACATAAAAGTTCAGTACAATACAATAAGCTAATGAGTTTACATTGCTCTTTGGAACCTGAGCTGGGTTGTTGGTAGCTATAATTTCATACTGTGCTGAAATCTGAGGTCAAAATTGATTTACAGTAACACTGCAGAACAAACCTAGAATATTTGGGAGAATCCACTTTGGTTGCTGCCAGTTTCCAACAATCAAGCTGCATTAATCTTAAGTCCTCATTCATATGTTCCACCTCCTGACGTGAGAGCAAATCTGCCTTTTTAAAAAAAAAAAGAAAAAAAGAAAAGCAAAGGCGAAGGTCTCCAACCACGTGGCACTGAAACAAAAACCGTATGTCTATTTATTTTGTTATTTATTTATCAGTGGCAGGGATCACTATAAATATATCTATTTTTTTTAATTGCGTTTTATAAATAAAATGAGTAATTATCGGGAGCAGTGTCTTCCATAATTATGACAGTAATACTGTCGAAATGACAAAAGCAGCATCTGCTAACAGAAGTGTTCATGTTGACCGACGGCCGGTACTGCACACAATAACATTCTGACACCTTGTAGAGAAGAGTCTGATTTTCAAACATAACTGACATGACATGACAAATGTTACATCTGGGCGTCCTGGCAGTGCTGCGTCTTTGGTACATGCACACTTCTTGTCCTAACATTATCGGGAGCAGTGTCTTCCATAATTATGACAGTTATACTGTTGAAATGACAAAAGCAGCATCTGCTAACAGAAGTGTTCATGCTGACCGTACAGACGGACCACACTGCACACGACAATAATCGGACTCTTCTCAGCAAACCTGTTCAGTTTGCAAATACATAATGACTCTGCATTGGTCAAACATCACAGCTGATCTCCGGTCAGTGCTTGGTCTTTGGTACATGCACACTTCTTGTCCTGACAACATTATCGGGAGCAGTGCCTTCCATAATTATGACAGTAATACTGTTGAAATGACAAAAGCAGCATCTGCTAACAGAAGTGTTCATGTTGACCGACGGCCGGTACTGCACACAAYAACATTCTGACACCTTGTAGAGAAGAGTCTGATTTTCAAACATAACTGATACTGGTTTGGTCAGACATGACAAATGTTACATCTGGGCGTCCTGTCAGTGCTGCGTCTTTGGTACATGCACACTTCTTGTCCTAACATTATCGGGAGCAGTGTCTTCCATAATTATGACAGTTATACTGTTGAAATGACAAAAGCAGCATCTGCTAACAGAAGTGTTCATGCTGACCGTACAGACGGACCACACTGCACACGACAATAAGACATAATGACTCTGCATTGGTCAAACATTACAGCTGATCTCCGGTCAGTGCTTGGTCTTTGGTACATGTACACTTCTTGTCCGGCGTTATCGGGAGCAGTGCCTTCCATAATGTGGGGTAAAAGGTAATTCTTACCTACCAGTGTGTGTCTGTATCGGAGGCAGTGCCCTCCATATTTCACTGTAGGGGTGGATGTTTTATTATCGGGAACAGTGTTTCCCATAATTTGTGTATATATTGCTACACAATGCACATGTGGTCTGCAAGTTTTGATCCCTTCTTTGCTGTAATGTTATTTCCTCTCAGACTGCAGCGTACAGCTTCTGCTCACAGATAGTGTGATGACATTTCATCAACATCAGCGCTTATTCAAAAATTCCATCTATCTTATTTAGTAAGTAAATCGAACTGTACGTCAGTTCTGGGTTTCTTTGAGCTTTTTGTCTAATTTTTAATCGCATGTATTTTTTGTATGGACGTGATTAATTGACACATACCTGTGTGGGGCAGCTGGGCTTAGTCGTGTGGTTCAATACTTGCAAGAAAACATGGCCACTCTGCAAATATGAGAGTTGCTCTTAATTATTAAGTCATTGTGAAAGTACATTCTATTTTATTTGTTCATTCTTGTTAAGCGATTTCCTCGTGCCTTTTTTTTTTGTGATTGCATTGTTGAAGTTTCAACACAAACAATACTAAAAGGTGTTTCGGCTTGTTTTTGTTTAGTTTTGACATTTCTGTATTTTCTTATTTTCCTGTTGACTAGAATCAAACGTTACTGGTGTTAATGCCTGTTATGATACAACACCTTTAGATTAAAAACAAGGTTACACGATGGATGAAAATTAAAAAAAATCTTGGAAGGGAAATCAATATTAATGTTACACTGAATGTTACAGTAGTTGATATGGTTCTTCTTCCTTCAGCGGCTAAATCTGGTCAGAGCATTATTAATTTAGTGCTTTCTTTATGCAAACCTCCTGATGTCATGCCTTTATAGAAAAACCTGTTTTAGTTCAGAAGCCATTTAAAAATGATCTTATGTGAGTGATAATCTGATCTGCTGGGCTGGAATGAGGCACATGGATGAGGAGGTTGCAGTTCTAATGCGCTTTTTCTGCTAAATTTGTTTCTGTTTATTTGGAGTGGCATTCCTAATTCTATTCAACTTGGATAAAGGTTTGAAGGTGTTTGAAATAAATGTGCATTGTTTCCCATTCACATTGTATACAATTCTGCTTAACTTTTTTTTGCAATAAACAATCATGTCACAACTGTTGAGCTGTGGTTTGATTATTAGTTTACACATTATCTTGTAGATTTACATGACTATAGGTTGTTGATGACTGAATATAAATCACTTTAAACCTTAATTAATTGGTTACTTTACAAAAAATGTAGGTGTTTAATGCAAAATTAAAATTGGAATATGTTAAATCTTAAAAAGAAACTGCATGACCCATTGTACAGACAAGAAACAAATGAGTTATTTAATATAAATTTACTGCAACTCTTGATGCCATCACTCCCATAGCATATAGTGTTTGCTTGTTACAGTAAAGCTAAAGTTACACAGCATGTATTTTCAGTTTTGTCTGAAAAACTAAACATGTGGGGGGGGGCTTCTTTCAAAGTGCTATGTAGAGTTCATCATATTGATAAATTATGCAGTTTTTTGATTTTCAAATGATCGGCTAAGATGTGTTAACACTCAATACTCCTTATTGTGCTTACTGCTGTGATGACTGCATGAGGAACGTTCAGAGAATATAGTTGTAGGGACACTTTTTGACCACACGATGGGCTCAGAGTTAATGTTATTGTTACATTTTGGGCTCCCACTATACTGAGCTATTGATACTTGAATAGGAGGTGGTCATCTGATGGTCTGAAACCTTTTCCTGTCATAAATCTTGAAATGGTTCTGTGAAGGGGCAGTAATTAGTATCACACTAGTTGTTCTGCAGTTTGAAAGTTTATAACCTCAGTAATTCTGGTGTGCTTGGTGAAAGAGCAGCCAATATTCTGAATTTAACATGTCTGAATACTTGCTACAAAGTTGTGTCAGTTGAGGCTGCAGCCACCAAGTGGAGTAATATGGCAAAATGGTTGCATGTCCCTTTAAGAGTGGGCTGATACCCTGAAAGTGCACCAGATATGTGATAGAAGCAAAGATGGCTCACTTCGCTGCTGATTCTTGCTGCCACAAGGACATGCAGAACACAGACTTGTACCAGGACCTCCTGGTAAAGGTTAGCTGTGGGAGGTGAACACTGAATTTACAATAGTTTTAGTGTTTTTAGTTTGACAGACCTGTTATGCTGAGCTGCTGCAGTGTGAACAGTGTTGTTGACTGTTGATGATGGTGTTTATTAAGAAGATGGTTGTACTCCCTTGAGACATGATTTTCTCTTTTACCTGTTTGTCCAACATTCAGTTTCGTCCTTGAGGGATTAATCAAGTCTTCTACTGTATCATATCATATTATACTTGTATCGTGCTTGCATCGTATACAAGTATTTATATATGTTATGATACATTTGACCTTTATCAAAAAACTGCAGTTCCTACAACTTGGATATTGCATGTAAACAAATTCTCTAACTGCTATGGACACTGGGCAGGACCCAGACCAGATGATGTTTGAAGAGCCATTTTTTTACAGTTTGAATTAGTTTTATAAGTTATGAGTTATTTGATGGTATATAAACGAGGTGAAACATCACGATTTAAAGATAAGACTGACTCATGATGTGTTCAAGCGTGTGAATCGACAGGACTTCGCTACCATCGCTCCATCCCCTGATTGCTACTGTGCAAACTCTGACTAATTCAAATTTGTTTGTATCCAGGGTATTTTGGATTCATTTCTGGGAAATGGGAGGAAGTGGACACGTGTCATCCATCCATCCATCATCTATACAGCTTATCCCTTGTCGTTCCCTGGGGGGCTGACATTGGGTGAGAGGCGGGGTGCACCCGACTGACTGACTGACTGACTGACTGACTGACTACATCTGCAGAAAAAAACAAGTGTTGTCTCTCCTCTGTGGAGTGATCCTTCATCTGACACACAGACGATCTTTGTGTCGTACAAAGACAGTATGGCACTGACGCAGCCTGAACACACACACACACCCGGGCTGTTTGTGTGTGTGTGTGTGTGTGTGTGTGTGCGTGCGTGCGTGCGTGTGTGTGTGAGTGTCAGTGTGAGTGTGTGGGTGGACGGGGCTGGTGACAGTGAACCATTCAACAAACTTTGATCCACTCCCCGCTTCACTCATGCCTCGGCCGCCGGGAGCCTTCACGTGGTCGGACATGTCGGAGCGAGTGAGCGTGTAGCTGGAGACACACCGGAGGGACAGCAAGTGACAGACTGGATCTCTGAGGCTGAGTCTCTGAGGCTGGATCTCTGAGGCTGGATCTCTGAGGCTGAGTCTCTGAGGCTGACAGGTAAGACACAGTACCTTCACTCACACACAGAGGCAAACACTGCGGGCTTCAGTTCATCAGTGTGCAGCTGCTGTCATGTCTCCAGTGTATCCTGAGGCTGTGGATGAAGGAACCTGCAGAGGAGAGCTGTCACTGTCTCTGTCGTGAAACCCTGAAGTGACACAACCTCAGGTTCTGATGGTTCGAGCTGCACACCCTGAGCTGGACTGTGTGTAGCACTGGTGTGTAGCTGCAGGTGTGTAGCACTGGTGTGTAGCTGCAGGTGGAAAAACACCTGAAGGGTCTCAGTGGAACTTTTTCCTGGAGACATGTTGACTGGTGTGTATAATGGATGATGGTGGTTGGTCAGCTGCTGTGGTTTCAGGTGGTGTACTTGATCACTCCAGCAGGGGCGGATCGGGGGTAGGGGGCACTGGCCCCAGCTGAAATGTGATTGGCCCCTAATGTGCCCCTGTCATTTTTTATAGTCTATTTTTTTAACAAACTAGCCAGTGGGGTCTCGTCAATATGCCACTCCCTCCAGCATCCTGAGAAAAAATGCTAATTAAACATGTAAAACATAATTTTAATTAGATAATACATTACTCCTACAATGCTCCTGATGCCTTTTAGCATCAATAGAAATTGTATTTGGTTAATTTATGTCTAAATACATATAGTTCTTGGTGTGGGGCACCAGCCAAATCAATTTCGTGGGAATCTGTTTAGTAGTTTTTGTGACTAACAAACAAACTCACATGAACCTCTTCTCCTAATAATGATCATAATACAATTGATATCAATATAACAAAAGTCTAATATGTATAATATGTATATAATGTATAGTGTAAGCACAGTGAGGAGTATAAAACCAAATTGATCGACCACAGATTTGTAAAATGTTTTGTTGTTTATATCAAGTGTTTGTCATCCTCTGCTCATACAGAAGACTTTAAAACTACAAACTTCACTCAGGGAAAAAAACCAGTCTTAAAATAAATAACAATGTGACATGCATCATATTACTGATATCAACTGATCATCTTTGGCCATATTGCCATGCAGCCCTGGTAGCAAACATTGCCTGTAAAGCCATAATGCACGACTTGCCCCAGACATGGAGACAGATGGGGAACAACTATGAATACATACACCACATGTATGTCTTATAGTTAGTGAGGGAGGATCCTCATCATGGGGAAGCCTGTTTTTCTGGGGACTTTTTGCAACTAATTGAATTAGTTTAATAAGATCCGCAAGCAGCAGAGCCACTTTGTATTTTAAATCAAAAAAACTTTTGCTTTGCCTTTTTTATACAACAAAATCTCATCTAAGAAATCAGATCTCCAAGGACAGAAAATATGTTTGACTAAATATGCAGATTAGCTTTTCCTGTTCCCACATGCTTCGTTTTTCTCTTTCATCCTATTTTTTTCTCTTTCTCTCTCACCCCCCCTTCTCTCTCTATATATATATATTTATATATATATGTATATTATGCTTAAATTTTCTTAATGGAAACACTATTTACCCTTTTCTGTTTCTAATTCAAATACATCAGACACACATTATCTGTCTTTGAGTAATGCTCATAGTTTTAGGCGTAGCATTATGTAAGCCATTTGCAGATACATTATATTTGATTGGTACAACTACCTGTTATGTTTCCAGTGTTGACTATAAAATCAAATTGACCCACTGTCAGTTTAAAGTCCAGGTCACTCTCGTACAGTAGACTGGTGATAAGTCAGGCAACACCACATGGGGTTAGGGTCTTTGTGATGGTTTGGTTGTTTGGTTGTGTTTGAAGCATTTCCATACCTGTGTCGAAAGATTACTTGAGTACAAGTTGAAATTTGTAGAGAAACATAGTTGATTTCCATGTGACTGATTTGAGAACAAAGTCTTATTATTAGACCTCGACCTGTATGTAACTTTAGGGGCTGATATCGATATCATGGAGGAAACATATCTGATACTGATATATTAGAAGATATATAAATTAAAAATACATTTGGCAATGATTCCTAAGATGTTCTATTCAAACCCTTATGACAAATACATCTAATTGAGGCTTCATATCTTGCAGTTTAACCATAAACTTATTTATAAATACTATAAATTAAAATGAAACACAAAAATAAAACGGTGTATTTGAATTAAGAGAATATTTTGTTATGTAAAATGTTAACACAAATGTAATTCATTTATTCATTGCGTAAAAGTTTTCTTAAAAAAACCACACCAGCAAGGCCGATATCAGCTGATGTTATAGGTCAACCCATGAATCGGTCAGGCTCTATCCATTATATTCTCTACATTATTCATTATCATGTGTTTCCAAAAGGTTGAAAACATTTGAGATATCTTCTCTTTTCACTTTTCACAGGCAGTAGATAAATGTTTCAGTAGTTCACTCTGTTACTTGCTTCCAGTGGTTAGTGGGCCTCGCTGGTCTATGGTGATAGTGGAAGTGCTCACATAAACAAACAGCTCGGTCTGTGGGATCATTTCACTCTTGAGAAACACCGAATCCTGGTTGGGAAACTGCACCATCTCTCTCCTTCCCGTAAAGAGATAATGTGTTAGTGTGTCTCATTGTCAGAGAGGGTTTATATATTGTCTACTCTTAATGTTTGCTTGAGTAAACTATTGAACCTTTGACTGTAGATGTAGATTTTGGTTTTGAAATTCTTTTAACAATCATCTTAATGCAGAATGATAACCTACAACAGGTTTCTGTGGAACTGATTCATACTGAGCGAAATTGCAATTATGGAAAAAGAGAGGGAGTATAAAAGAATGCACAAAGAAATATGTGTTTATCTTGCTCTTGTTTGCCTGTGT